ACGCGATTTAGCCGATACCGGCAGAAACCCTAAAATGAGAAGCAGCCGATAGAGCTAAATTGATATGCTAAGACTAGATTAACATAGACATATGATAAATAGGTAGGCAAATATATCATCCAAACCAGAGTAATCCAAGAGGTCGAATGTCCTGATGCAGCCTTGAACGACGCCGACGTAGACGATACAATTGCCTGGACCGGCGGAACATTGGACTTATCCCTTCGCCGGAGATCGAACACCGATGCAGCTCCACGTCAGGTGCCAAGTCCCGCCGGACGATAAAACAAAGTAGAAAAGGTAAAAGGTGGCAATGCGCCGAATTGTATTGATCATGAAGATAGATTACATAGACCCCGGGTGTACATATTTATACCCATGAGTTGATACAAGTCCTTGTCGGACAAGAAAAAAACTTTCCTAAAGATAAAAGGAAACTAACAAACTATTCCTAATTAATAGATAACTTGCCATGCCGCATTCTCTTTGAACTCGGTCTCTTTTGGATAAGCTTCCTTTAGTAGATCAATTTCCTTAACCGAATATAGCAAGAATCCAACAACTGACGACTTGGCAACTCTCATCGGCTAATCTCAGGACTTCAAAGCCGATGCTGACTCTAAGCCGATGACTACTCCGAGCTTACCAAATTTCACCATTAACACATCCCCCCCTAGTTTTGGAGTACGAGAATTCATGCTTCAAAATTTCTTGTCTTGATAACTCCAAAACCAATCTTCCTTTGCTTCTTGTAATCGGCTTTCATGAGCCGATACTGATGTGCTCCACCATGTTGAAACTGATGCGCTTGCCCCCCGAGCCAATATTGTTGTTCCTCCGTTAAATTCTCCACCGTGACCATGATCTTGGCATTGACTTCTTCTTCAGACTTGTGGATATAAAATTCGTGATCCCACCGGGCGTGCCAATTGCGTGTTGATGAAAAACACGAGGCCTGAGAGATCTGCTTAACTCCAGTGCAGGTCCAAAACTCACCTTCGGGTATGCTAGCGTACCAGTTGATTTGATCCTGCAATCAACAAGAAATAGAAACAAAGAAACCGTGGTTAAATCCATAAACGATAGCCGATCGGCTAAGTGCCGATGACATATCATTTATCTTTGAGCCGATGTCATATATACATCGATCGGCAGTTATAATTAGATAATAAAGGACTAAATCTACTCGATCGGCTGTAGATATTAACAATATATAATCCTTATGTCGATATATACTTAAATCAAGTGATTGGGATAGATCAGTCGCCATGCCAAGACAGTATAAATCACTTAAATTGAAATATATACCAACAACAAGACTATATATGTTTATAGCATAGCTGATCAGATAGATCTAGCATGTATCGGCTAGTACTCAGATACAACTCTATATTAAGATATTAAAGTAAGCAGAATATATCAAACGAAAGCCTAATATACTTAAATGCAATAAGATCTTAACATAAAGGGCAGATTTAACATGTCAATAAAGCATATAAAGCAAGTATAGTTAAATCAGGTAAGATCGGTTGAAACCCTGATACTACCCTAATCAGCAACCAATAAGCAGGCTAGAGATTGATATTCTAATCACGACTCATAAGATCAAACAACTGATGCAGCTATAAGTGTGAAAAGAAGGACAATATCTAGACAATCAAGCCATTGGAAGTTTCATAGAGTGGTGGATATCGTATATAATCTAAGCCAGCGTTGATATTTAACCTAATCGACTGCCCTCTACTGATAGATGTTAGCCGATTGTAGGTTAGATAGCAATATTGCCAGAGATTATATAAAATATATGATAACTCGACGAATTACATAAATAAGATTAGAGTATCATAAAGATGGAAGCACTAATCCCGAAAACACAAGCCGTCATAACAAGTTTTACCTCTTGTTGAAGATCGAAACCGATGCAGCTCAACCCGAAAGCAAGAACTCGTCGAAACAAAACTAAAGCAAAAAGGGTGGTGATGCGCCGAGATTGTATTGAACGTGTGTGTTACATTACATAGACCCCGGGTGTACATATTTATACCCATGGGTTGATACAAGTCCTTGTCGAACAAGAAAGAAACTTTCCTAAAGATAAAAGGAAAAGATAAAGTCCTTATAGGACACTAAATACACTTTCCTAAAGATAAAAGGAAACTAACAAACTATTACTAATTAATAGATAACTTGCCATGCCGCATTCTCTTTGAACTCGGTCTCTTCTGGATAAGCTTCCTTTAGTAGATCAATTTCCTTAACCGAATATAGCAAGAATCCAACAACTGACGACTTGGCAACTCTCATAGGCTAATCTCAGGATTTCAAAGCCGATGCTGACTCTAAGCCGATGACTACTTCGGGCTTACTAAATTTCACTGTTAACACAACCCAATGGTTGGATGCTTTGTTCTAATTTTTTTTATGATTTTATCTAATTTAGAAGTGTCACGGATTGGTTTGAAAACATTTAAAAGATGATTAATGGGCTTTAACACTGCATGGGAGTGTGGAGGGAGGTTTTGGATGTTTTTTAAAGAAAAAGATAGATATGATGACCTAAAATAATGTAAATTGATGGCCGAATGTATTTTTTTTCTAATTTAAGATTACTATACAAATGTTTAGAAATATTTATATGATGTTTAATGGACTATTTATTAGTAGAGAATAGATGAGAGTTGGTTGGTGTTTATCTATGGCCTTTTAAGGCACGTAAAAGAGTTTTTAATTTTAATTATCACGGGGTTAAAAAAAAGGAAAGGCACTGAGATGGGATGGATCATTCCTATGTACGTCCGTGAAAGCCCTGAGGCGCGCACGGAGGGGGATTTTATTTTTATTTTCCTGTAAAGATAAATCTAACGATCTAAAATAATGAGTCTACCAATTTAAATGAAAATCGATTGTCAAATTTATCTATTTTATTAGAGTACCACATGGTGACTCGAGAGCGTTTATAGGATGCCACATGGCAGCTTGAGAGCGTTTGTAGGAAATTTAATGGATTTTTAGTATATCATAGATAGATAGATTTGTTATACAACATATATTGTATTAAAATATAATTTTAGACCTAAAAAATCTTATGACGTATAGCAGATCCATCCTGAAACCACACGGAAAAAAGAAAGTTACATTCAGATGGGCCACTTCAGCCCGTGTGCTTACTGCATGCACACAACTCATACACCCTTTGAACTAGGAAACTTCTCTTACCATCGTTGGTTCCCACAAATCACTTGGTAGTGGTGGACACAGACTAACTGCCACCGCCACTATTGGTAGTATAGATTACAAAAACTTACATCCACTAATTAACTTTAGTTGAGCCAACTAGGTCAACACTTTGAATTATAATAAAAACTAAACTAATGATCTTCCTAGCCTTCAAAATGATAAAAATGTGACAAATTTACAGAACACATAGCTCATAAAATCGCTCCAGGATCGAATAAAAACTTCAAGATTAGTGGATGGACTTTGTATATCCTAAAAAAAATTCCCAACTCCGTAATTCATCTGAATAAGCTAATTTGGCCAAATTGCTTGGTAACTAATGTGACATTGTAGGAGCCAAGTTGTGGAAACCACTCACACTCATCAACAAACAGATCTTGTTTTGCTAATTTGATTGTGTCGACGTTTGATGTCGCGATTCCGGTATTTGCATAGTATGGGGATCGTTGGTACTAGGATATATGCGAGATTTTAATAAAAGAGATGGGGACGAGGAATTTTATACAGGTTCGAGCCCCTGAATCGTCAGGTAATAACCCTACTCCTGTTGGCCGAAGCCGGTCATTGCTCTTATTCACCATGATCACACCAGTACAATATTTAAGGTAGCCTATCTAACTGTTGTCGACTTGGCGGTCTGAAGTGCTGACTCGTAGTCGACAACAGGGTAGCCTTCCTCCTCGAATCCACATCCGGCGAGATCAAAGACAGCGCTATGTCTCTCCTGACAGTATCCGTAGACACCGTAGGGACTAGCCATGCTTATCTCTGAAGTCAATATCCGGCATCTTGTCTTGTCTTGGCGTATGTTGGCTTGTATGTTGTATCTTGATCTATTGCTCCGTGTCCCCTCTCCTCCTATGGGGTCTTGTATTTATACCCATAGGTGTTCCCTTGTCTAAGTAGAACTAGGGAAACCAATATGGATACAATCCGAGTAGTCATTGTCGTTTCCATGCAGAATTATGGTTGTCTTTCTCTATCCGGAACTCCCTCCATATCAGAGGTCAGTATCCGTATAAGACATGGTATGTGGTGGGTTCTGCCAAGATTTAGTCAACTACTATTAGGTATATGGTATCCATAACCCTGACAGATTATTTGTGGCTTATTCTTGGTTTTTTTTTATGCATTGTATTTGCATGCATATAATTAAAAATGACAAATCACTTATGCTCAAATAAATTTCTACAAAGTTTCTCACATTCTATGAAATAGCCTTCTATGAAATATTTTTTCATAATTTTGTTTCATATTTTGGTACTCAATTAAATCAGTCAAAACGGTCAAATATGTAATGAAACAATAACATTCTCACAGATATTCTATCTTTTGCCAATGACCAACGATTGATCCTAAGAATTGCCATAGATTACGTGAGTTGCATCACACAACTATTTTTCTTCCTTTATGTTATTACCGTTAGCTAGGCTTCTGTCAACTTCAGTTAAAATGTATAAAAATGTAAGGAGAAACACGTAAATATAACATTCAAACTTTGCAACTACCACTGATGAGAGAAAATTTATAGGCCTTAAAAAGATGCCGAGATATACCATTTTTTTTCTTTGGAAAAAAGTAGCTCCCCTGTAGCTCTCAAGAATGGTGAATTCACACTTCCATAGAACCAGAGGTGCACGTGCCTGCGTGGAAAGAACAAACAAATGGCCCTCGCGTAAGCAATGACGCAAGGCAATAGCAGCCACAGACCCACAGTTCCGCAGCCAATATATAAATCACAAAAGAAACAACGCTTATATCACCAAATCCCCCACACTACGGTCAACATTGTACAATAATAGACGCCCAGGGTAGCAACAAAATGGGCCGATGAGCAGCAACTATATATGTACCAACAAAGTGCAGGGCAAATTCAGCTGCAAGAAGGACCAATGGCGCCGATGAAAGTGTACGGGTGGGTGGTATCGCCATGGATGGCGCGGGTGCTGGTGGCCCTGGAGGAGGCCGGCGCCGAGTACGAGGTCGTTCCGATGAGCAGGTCCGGCGGCGACCACCGCCGGCCGGAGCACCTCGCCAGAAACGTACGTGAGCCTCTCATAATTCTCGCACTATATCTTCTTCGCATGTTACGCAAATTAGTCCAAAGGGTCAGAGCGACCTACAGTGCAGGCTGATTCATGGAATACCTGCACTTCGATTGCCCAATAGTAGACTATATGTTGGCAATAGACGTTAGGATCCGAATTGTCATGAATACTCGGTTATTTGGATGCGCTTTTTGCCCACGAGTTGTTGTTTCCAAACTTAATTTCTCCTGCTAAGAACATTTCAATTCCTGCTTATTAAAGTTGTTTTCTGTATATCAATTATGCAGCCGTTCGGTGAGATTCCAGTACTGGAGGATGGCGACCTGACGCTCTATCGTAAGCAAGCTTGACTTGTATTCTTGTTTTCGTCGATTGAATTCTATTTGCTTCTCTGAATTATTCCAATCAAAACTAATACTTGTTGTTCTCTGAATAACTGTTCAATTAATAGTAGAGATTCAGTAATTCTTTATTCAAGATCACGGATACACATACTATATAACACACTATGCCCAAAAGAAGAAACTAAAATCGTTTGTATTTTTCTTGTCAGAATCGCGAGCAATCGCTAGGTACATCTTTCGCAAGTACAAACCAGAGTTCCTGGGACTCGGAGAAGGTGGAAGCCTGGAGGAGTCGGCAATGGTGGACGTGTGGCTGGACGTGGAAGCCCACCAGCACGAGGCCGCCGTGAGGCCCATCCTGTGGCACTGCATCATCAACAAGTTCGAGGGCCGCGACCGCGACCAGGGCGTCGTGGACGAGAGCGTCCGGAAGCTGGAGAAGGTGCTCGGGGTGTACGAGGCGAGGCTGTCGGGCTCCAGGTACCTCGCCGGCGACCGCATCAGCCTCGCGGACCTCAGCCACTTCTCCAACATGCGCTACTTCATGGCGACGGAGTACGCCGGCGTGGTCGACGCGTACCCGCACGTGAAGGCGTGGTGGGAGGCGCTGCTGGCCAGGCCGACGGTGCAGAAGGTGATGGCCGGCATGCCACCGGATTTCGGCTTCGGAAGTGGGAACATACCATAGTGTGCTTGCTGTTGTCCAGCTTTGCAGCTTGTTATTAGCATGTCTGCATTTCCAATAAATGGGATAGCCAGCTCTGAGAACCTCCAAACAATGTCAATGCTCTGCATCAGGCGCTCGTTGCAGAAGCAAAAAATCATGGCGTTGCTTTTTCTTCTCTTTGACAAGCTGTTTTCATCATGGTGGCTTTGGCGTTATTGTCACAGCCTCCTCGGTTACCGTTGTTATTGCGTTGTCGATGTGGAGAACGTCGCTGGTGATGGCAGACGTCATCCTGCTCCTATCGTTCCCGCCTACACCCGTTCAAGTGGTCGCGAAGGTCGCGATCATCTCGGGGCGATAGGGTCTGCTGACTTTGTCGTCTTGGTGAGGCGTTCCAAAGGTTCCGGCCTAATCTCGACTCGGGTGCTCGCAAAGGATTTCGGTAGCATCGACGTTCCCATCGGCATGCACCTCTTCTCCTTGTGCCGGAAGACAAGAGGGTCCCTGAGTTGCTGGTCCAGCTGTTGCTGTAAAGGCACTGTTGAGGTTGGATATTGTAGATCGTATTCTTCCAACCAGTGATCTGCTTCAGGGTACAGAACCGGATCGAAAGGACTCTCTCAATAGCAAGTCGATTGCGGTGAGATGTTATGCATGAGTACGGACAGGATCTGTAGCCTCGCGATGAGGTGGATCACATGGGTTTGCATTGCTTGGAGCGTCTCCTTCGATAACGTTCACATCACGTGTAGTATTAGATGCTGAAGATTCTTGATCCTCCATGCTATGTAGAACTAAGGGTTTGTGGGGGTCAATGCCGACGGATCCCACGAAGCGATCTGGAGATCCTTCCACGCTTTGTTCCTCTGCAACATGTTGAGATTGAACTTGTCGTTGTTGGATCTGGGGGTGTGGAGGTATAGTGGCGTCAAGGAAAACCTTGCAGTTTGAAAGGTCATGTTTTCTTGACTTATTGATTGGACTACACCAGGTGAATCTGGTTGGTGAGACGCGTTGAATATCTCGTTATTTGCAAGCTTCGAGTTTAGCCTTCATGTGTTGTACCACCTTGTAGTCCGTCAGAGCCTGTTTCGCAGAAAAAGAACGAGATTTGGCCGCTTGAGGCTTCTTCCTGAGTGTTGTCGTAGTCGGCGCCCTCTTTTCTGTCGAGACGGGAGGTGCGGCTGAAGTGATGTCGTTTCTCGTTTTCTTTGCTGCACCATTCTCAATCTCGACAAACACTAGGGCATACGAGATTGGTTTTGCAGCGTAGACCGGAAAGACGATGGATCCAACTTGAGTCCACACTAGCGACGTCTGGGTTGGATCTCCTGGGCCGAAGCTAGTGCTGATGCAGACGTCGGGGAAGCTTGAAATCATCTCGGTAGAACCTTGTGCACCAAGTTCCCCTACCTGGCACTCCACTATCGACGGGGGATACCTGTAGAACGGATGATGAGAGTATTGGGGTATGTTGATACGAGGATCTACACGATTTGACGTCAAGCAAACAAAGAGACAAGGATTATACTAGTTCAGATCCCTTGTAAGGTAATAGCTCTAATCCGGTTTTATGAGATTGATATGGAAACCACATAGTACAATAGAGAACAACTGATTACAAGATTACAAGCAAGATCCTTGTCAAGAGATTCTCGACAAGATCTACTGGCGAGCAGGCTTCAAGTCTTCTGGATTACTTCTATGGTGACGGGTTATTGGTGTTATGATTCGATGCCTTGGACCCTCAGGGGGTATGTATTTATATTGTGAATTCTCTTGGTCTCCAAGTAGAACTCAGAGACCCCAGACACTGCACGATATGATATATCAGAATCCTTTCCGAGTAGTACTCTGTCATGCACTTGCCCATGAGGATTATTTCCATAATCTCTTGTCGATGTCCTTATCGCATACGGAGCTTTATCATACATACGAAGGTATGCCATATCCGTATATTCCATGACTAGTAGAATAGAGGGTATGCCTTATTCGTAACCATGACAACTACTGATAAGGAATGACCTAAAAACATTATTTTTCTCTTTCATATAACAAACTACCACAAGAAATGGGCAAGATCACCAATGCTTACTCAAGGATTCTGAATAAATAACCAAATGGCGCCATCATGGTTACCTATGGCACTTGAATTACATAACCAAATTGAGAATATAGAATCATAAAACAATAAGAGCATCATTTACATTAATATCAACTTGAAACTTGCATATATAACTAGAATGGTAGCATTAATGCATAAGTTAAGGAAAATGAAAGAAAATAAATAGAGCAAACTAGTCCATTTATCACAACAAGTAGTTTGTCATAAACTTGAGTACCACATTGGTACCAATCCTATAATTCCACAAAATCCCCTAATTTTCCTTTTCTTCTTCTCTCCCTTCCTTACCCCTTTCCCTGTTATTGGCCAGCAAAAACAGCAACAGCGAGCAGACAAGAAAGCAGAGAAGAGGTAAGCATTAGCGCAGCCCATGGTGGTGGTGGCTACACTGTGTGGCGACAACAGTGGTAGCTAGCAATGGTATGAAGCAGTAGATGGCGTAGCTAGGCTTTGAGAGGCTTGGGGTGGTGAAGTTTGACAAGGCGCAGCCCAGCCCATGCTTCTCACTCTCTTTTTGTATCTCCTTTCTGAAGCAGAAGCGATTAGGAAACACAAACATATCCAATGGCCAAAACAATCCAGTCGTCATTTTTAGGATAAACCTTAAAAGATGATGGGACTCATGTTTTAGGGTAAACCAGGAACAAAAACCTCATAAATGCACAGGTAATTGGGTAAAACTGGCAAAGAAAACCACACAAAGAACTAACTATACACTTGCGGCAGCATAATTGAAGCTCAAACACAACTCATCATTGTCAAGCCCAAAGAGAAGCTCCAACTTCCTATGATCAAACCATAAACGAGACAACCAAAATAACCAAGAAACCACCCCTGGCAAGCTACTTTGCCTCCACCACAACACACCGACATAGAGCCATTCCGCTATCTCTGGATATAGTTGTTTGAGGATCTAGCTATTTGCTCTCATGTATAATTTAGATGCTCTAGCCCCATTTAGCCCGCTATTAGCTATTTGAGAAGACCAATTGCTAAATGTCTTAGCCGGCGATTTAAAACACTGGGTTTCATACCAGAACTGAACTCTGGAGAGCGCTACAAATCAGACGTCCAATATTCATTAAAACACCAGAAGGTGTTACACTATATTGTTGCAAAATGTTTCACATGTTGCATTACTCGATGAAAAATGTTTCATATATTTTATCAATCGGGAAAAAATGTTTCATCACTTGAACGAAAGTGTTTCAACTAAATCAACATTTTAAACATACTGACTACAACACGAAGAATCAGTAGATGCAACATCGATTCAAAACAAAATGAAACACCTTGATACAATAAAGTGCAATAAGATAAACAATAGACTGCAACATCGCTAAAACTCTAACAAAATAAAACCACTACCGTCTTCTTCTCATACTCCAACCGCCGAAACTACTAAGTGGCTGATGCGGCAGCAGGAGGTGATGTCTAGGGAATGACATAGATGAGTAGTGGCACGAGGCAGGCAACCTTAGCTAGGACCAGCAGTGTCCGCATCCGGTCCCTATCGGTTGCCAAGTCCAACACTGCCATCAACACCGCCTACCACTGCAATACGTGTAGCCACCGACAACAATAGCTTTGGCCTCTCTCATAACACCCGGCAGAAGTAGAGGCAAGCCTAGGGAAGCTTGGGCTTGAGCCGTAGGCTTGCCTTCATAATCATGCTTAAATTCTCTTAATTCACCATGTAATTTTTTGAAAAAAAAAACTTCATTAGTTGAGCCCTACCCAACTCTATGATTTGTTAATTTCTGTCTCTGCCACTACACCCGGCAATGGTGGCAATGCAGTGTCTTTGAGACTATAGAGAGTAAGAGGAAAAGAAAAAAAATAAGGAAGGGAATGTGTGGTGGAGGAGATAGCTTGGAGTTTTGGATAAGGACGAAATGTATGATACTTTCCCGATGAAAAATAGGACCTTTCATCCAAAATATTTTAATTAAACAGAGAGCTTGAGAATTGAGGAATTTGGACTTTCTTATCATATTGGAATTTTCGAATTAGAGACTGGAACTTCCAATCCAAGTTGGTTTATGACATTTGTAAATACAATTTAATCCGGTTTAGGATAGATTTGAGAGCAAATTTTGAGGGAAAACAATCGTCAAAATTATTCTACTATTTTTGTTCTTCCTTTTCCCTTTGTTAAATGTTAACTACCAATTTGTGCTTGGTTTGGAATCTTGATTATAACATTTTTCATGATTTAAAACTTCCAAAATATGAGTTTAATTACAAATATATACCAAGTTGATATTAAGTTATATATGTAGTACTCCTACTAGTTGGGTGCCCGTGCGTTGCAACGGGAAAAATTATACATAAATTTAAAATCACTATGGGTCAAATGATGTTAAATAATCAATGAGTGTAAATTTCTTGGAATAGAAAACTTAATATAGCACGCAAAATAATTACAAATTTTGGATGTTAGTAACATGAACAAACAAAAGGCATTATATGTTTTGGCAAGCAAGCATGGAAAGAGTTATAGATATAAGACTCATAAAAAGGAAATTGAAGATAATTAAAATTTTAATTATAGAATGAATTAACAGCAGGTAACCACCCCAAACCATTTTCCAGAGTTTACAATCCAGACTGAACAAGTCTTGCTACATTGTGACTATAAGACGCACCAAAGTCTGAAATTTCATAAGAAATGTTAGTCAAATTAATTTTCACAGATATAGTCCAATTGAGCTTTAATTTGATGAATGTCATATTTCAAATATTTTTAAGGAAAAGTTCAAAATATCATATTGTTTAGAAATTAATTCGAAACCATCAACAATTATATCTAATCAGAATCAGCTAGCAAGTAGTAGTACTAAGGAGTTGGGAAAAACTATGAGCTTCATTCAGATCACAGGTTTGATTTATCTTCTGCAGATCGCCATTGATGACTTGTGCTCCAGATTCCCATTGTTGCTTTTCCTAAAATGCAATTCAATAAACCGAGGATGCAGCAGGGATTAGTCCAAAATTACTACCAAAGAGATTATATGTAGATCTGGATAAGTAGCAACAAGATACATTATTAGCCACTTTCCTGGCAGAGTGCCACTGGTCAATGGTTCCTAGAATGCACAGAAATATGATAGCGGCATGGAATAAAGATGCACAACTAATCGACATACTCGTACTTGCCGGCTTGTCAGCCACCAGGTGGCGTTGTGCTGCAAGGAAATCAGGAATCAAAATCAATATTAACCAATAATGGTGGCCAATCCACTGGATTAGGAGGGTCACCTCGTATGCATCCATGAACCATGACAGTTGCCGCCCTCCAACGAAGTTTCCCTCGTAGACCAGTGAACTTCAAGATTAATGCACAAGTACAAACCAATGCATGCTACACAGCAAATACCTATAATTAAATGTGTGCAAATTGATCTCATTCCCATTGCCAAAAATGATTCAGCTTACGACAGTCAATTGCCGACCAAAAATGATTTCCACTGGTTTCTAGAACATAAATCTTTATGTACAAGCAAAAGCGTGTGCAAACACAACCCTCCCAAACGGTTCCCATGGATGACCAGAACATATATTTGGCATCTTGTCTCCAAGTAATAATAAATCTGAATGTGTTCATCCGTCCAAGCATAACATCAAATGGCGTCCGGTTGCAACAGTAATAACAATAACCATTGTATAATTACAGTTCAATTTTCATGACCCGAGCCCTTTAAAAAAACATCTGTTCACTTAGAGCCAAAAAAATGTTGGATTTTCACACTAAATGATCCAATAGAGAAAAGAAGTATAGTACGAAATGCACCTCTTTTCTTGCAGCGGACCATGATCACACTTTTTTTCCTAGCCTGTTTCCTTCTCCAAACAGACTTGGACTGTGTCAGAAGAATAAATAAAAGGCATAATTATTTTCTTCTAAGGCATTCGAACTTAGTAGATCATCAAATTAATATCAGTATGTAAACTTAAACGAAATCAATCTGAACATATGATCATGCTCACATATAAAATTCATATTGAATACCTAGATAATTTTAAGGATAATGAGATTGTTTCTCCTGATACAAATCTGTGGGTAATTGTATATTTAGGTTCACAAAAAACGATAATAAAATTGTAGCTTTAGAGTTAGATTTTTATTTGGGTCATGAAAGAACTGATTTATAATGACATATAAAATCATTAACTCTACACAAATGCTATAAATTCATAAGCAAACAAAAAGGCACCGAGAAAGCTATTTTGAAACAAAAAAAAAGTCAGGAAGAAGCACTGTACCCTTCATCAACCTCAAAGCCTCAAGCTACTATACAGCAATCATATTGGCATATTGCCATCCATCCCTAATTAAAAAGGTGCACAAATCCAAGTTTTGCAAAAAGCCTAATCATAATCATATTTTTTTCATGCTGGCAGTCAGCTGAAGAGGTGCACAGATCAAGACTTGCAAAAGATGTACTCATCTTCAGAGCTATGGTCAGGCATTTTTCATTCTGACAGAACCGAAAACTCTTTACTCATGATTCATCAACCATAGCTCCAGGTTGTTCCTAACCAGGGCACTCAGGGCTTCTCCTAGCTCGATAAAAGATTAGGCCTGCTATCTAAATTTGAGAAACACATGCAGATAATAACTTCTTTTTTTTGTCACACATGCACATTAATAATTTGATTTCAATTATATCACTGATGTATGCTATAGTGGGTGGAAGGAAAATTAAACAGCAAATATTTTGTCACACATGCACATAATAATTTGATCTCGGTTATCTCACTGATGTAGATCACATAACTGATCGAGTCACTATTGAACAGATGCATAATAGCCATTGATAAATTAGTATTAGGATGGTTCATAGCTTCTGTTAACATGAAAGAGAAACCAATTTTTGTTTCCATGCTGCACAGCATCATATTTGAAAGAGCAGCAACCATGATTAGTGGCACTAACAGTAAATGGATAATAATATGGATTGCTGAAACCCTTTAGAAAAAAAAAGGTACCATTTGATTAAACCTTCAGAATCATAGTCATTGAACATTCACAAATCAAAGCAACCTAATATTCTTACTTATGTGCATGACATGACAAACCACATAGTCATCAAAAATGGGATATGCTATCTATCATATGTAATGAATGTACTAATCTCTATCCACGTCTCCAGCATTACGTAATATGCTATCTATCATGAGAGATTGTTGATCTCAGAGCATGCAAAGTAATAAAATGAAGTAGCACATCAGTCCACTGCTCTTTCAAATTCAATCTTCAGATGATCCTTAAGAGTTCTGCAAGAACAATTACAGATCAGTGATAATATCAGTGCAAAACATGGACTAACCAATTTAGCATCATAGACCTGAAGAATTAATTTAGCATCATCCATTGGAACCCTGAAATGCACAAGTCCAAATTTATTAGAGTTCAATCCAGTACAAACCATAAGGCAGAATCTCAGTGCTGCTGATGGTTGTTTTTTTCTCATCGGTTGATGTAAACGTTCAGAATCATAGTCATTCAACATTCACAAATCAAAGAAACTTAATATTCTTACTTATGAGCATGACATGACAAACCACATAGTCATTCAACAATCACAAATCAAAGAAACTTAATATTCTTACTTATGAGCATGACATGACAAACCACGTAGTCATAAAAAATGGGATATTACTACTTGATTGCAAAAATTATTACTTAATGTATTTGTGATGAAAGAAGGGATTCACAAAGCTTGAAACATGAACTGATGATAAATGAACACTTGAGCTCATTGCCTACACCTAACATTTGGTTTAATACACGGTAAAAAAAATAAACCACATTATAGGGATGTTTCGAGAACAAGACGATTCAGATAGCTTGATCAAAAAAGAAAATCAAACCATCTCAAGCTGTATATACATGGAAATCAAGGAGTAGAAAACAGGAGTTGGACAGGTGCACAGGAATGGTCGACGTCATCACATAGATGATTTAGAAAATAAATATTATCAGCAGATGTCCTAGAGCCAGGTTAATCGTAACAGCTGGCTCAAAATCACACCACGGATTGAGCTTCTTACTGGAACATGTTGCGGCCATATCGTCAGGGGATACATACCTTCAGATGACGGCGATCGTGACCGGCGGAGGTGGCTGCGGCCTGGCGGCGCGGGGCGTCGGCGGTCGAGGGCGGCGAGGAGGCAGCGGCGGTCGAGGGCGTCGAGGGGCGTCGGCGTTCGACGGCGGCGAGGAGGCGGCGCAGGTCGAGGGCGGCACGGGTGGAGAGACGAGGGTAGCCGGCGCGGTGTGGGGACGGCTTCTGGTGGAGGTGGAGGGGCGGCGCCTCTCCGGCTAGGGGTGGAGGCGCGGTGGGGAGGCGAGGGTCGCCGGCGCGGTGTGGGGACGGCTTCTGGTGGAGGTGGAGGGGCGGCGCCTCTCCGGCTAGGGGTAGAGGCGCGGTGGGGAGGCGAGGGGCGGCGGCGGCGCGGGTGGAGAGGAGAGGGGCGCCGGCGCGGTGTGGAGATGGCTGCTGGTGGAGGGGCGGCGCGGAGGAGAGGCGAGGGGAGGGCGCGGGGCGGCGATGGACCGCGCCGCCTGCTGGTGGAGGGGCAGCGCGGAGGAGAGGCGATGGGAGGGTGCGGGGCGGCGATGGAGGCGCGCGGAGGAGGGGGCGCAGGTTGCGGGGCGTTTCTGTTTTTTACGATTTTTTTTTTTGTTCCGGATCGCGTGTACGTCTTCTTTTATTTTTGTCGCTCCAAACGTGTCGATGGTTTGTATGTTGGATCGCATGTCTGCTTTGTATGTTAGATCCTATATCTGCTTTGGCTTCACTATCACCAACACCAATTTGAATTTTTTAAGGAGTAGAGATGTGTGGTTGTACGTACTGGATGATATATATATATATATAGCGTTGATTTAGGATCTGCTTACCCTTGTGGCCTGACATCGCGTTTCCCATTGTTGGATCGTGAAATTTCTTATGCACGTGACAAATTTATACAGGTGCATTGCCCATGTACACAGGAAAACACGACAAAAGACCTAAAATTCCAGTGCGTCGTTGAACCCGGCGTCGTAGGCGGCGTCAGCCTCCATGTCGCCGACCATTTCCCCGAGCATCATCCCGCCGACCGCGCCGCCGAGGAGCCCGAGTCCGAGGCCCATGCCCATTCGTCCACCTTTCCTCGCCGCCGGCTGTTGTGCCGCCGCGTAGCTGTACGTCGCCGGCGGCGGTGGGCCGGCGTTGTACGCGTACGGCGGCTGACCCGCGTAACCGTACTGCTGCTGATGCGGTGGGTACCCTCCTCCGTACGGCGCGCCGTACGGCACGACCGGCGGGTGCGCTACCACGGCGTTCGACGGCGGCGGGTAGGCGGTGACCGGCGACGACACGCTCTTCTCCGTCGCCTTCTCATCAGAGTCCTGCGCGTACATGGGCACGTACTGCCCTTGTTTGGTGGCGCTGCTCGTCGCGGTCGCGGTCGCGGCCTCGATGGCTTCGAGGGCGGGATGCTTGACGTCGGTGAACCTGTAGCAGAAGTAGAGCGTGCCGTGCGCGCGGGCGGACATGGGGCGGCGCACCTGGTAGCTAGCCGGCCTCGGCTCGCCGCCGTCGTGCGCGCCGGCGAGGAGGTCGTCGAGGGGCACGAACACGTCCCCGACGTCGCGGTGGCCGCCGAAGGAGCGCCGGGCGCGGAGCTGGACGTGGAGGGCGAGGCCGCGGGTGTCGAAGCGGGCGGGGACGGGGAAGTGGAGCACGGTGTTCCACGCGGGGTTGCTGCCGCCGTTGCGGTCGGCGTGGGTGCCGTGCATGGGCATGGGGACGTTGCTCCCGGAGATGGAGGCGACGGCGTAGACATGCATGCGCGAGAAGAGAGTGACCTTCTTGAGGTCGCTCGCGGAGACCAGCGTGAGCTCCAGCAACCGGTACGCCATCGCCGGCCGGCACAGGATCAGGAGGAGGATCGTCGGAGTGGAGGTGGTGGAGGAGGAAGGGAGAGAATTTTGCGTAGCCTGTGGTGGCAACGTGCGTGTCCTCCTCGAGTTGGAGAGGAGCGCCATGGCGGGAGTTAAGAAGGGATTCACGGTTAGGCTTGGCAGGTGTCGGTGCTGCATTGTGGCACTAAGAATAGCATTGTGCCTAAATCTCGCATGCTTATCTTTGTGTGGTGTGGCGTTCCGCTCGGGCACTCGCCGTAGAAAATTGTTGTTCTGTTTTTTTCCTAGAGGCACCTTCAAATTAATAATGCTGCTTATCTTTATATATGCACAGTGGTGGAGGACGGGAAAAAAAATTAGGTGTGACGGTGTCGCCGGTGTGGCCCATGGACTAGCACAAAGAAAAAAAAACAATCTTAATGCACTATATTATATGACGCAACATTATCCGATCATGACGCAATCTCAAACATGGCAACAAGCACTAGCCATAGGTTCACATTCATCATCCATTTGCCAAAATTGTAAATAATACCTCTAAGATTCCAGCTGTCAGCAATGCATCACATATAAGAACTAGAGACTAGTGAGGATAGATAGACATATAGAAACTGCAAAACAAATTGCAAAGATTAATTAGTATACTATATACTTAAGATTGATAACATAAAGAGCAATGATTGGAATAAAATGTGAAGGTATACCAAACATTTATTTAATTGCTTAGAGGTCTAGGAGATTTAGGCAATTGCATTTGCCTACTTTTCTTTTTCTGAAATACTTTTTTTGATTTTTTTTGAAAATCAAGTCCTTTGAATCGATGTAGCACACCATCAAGTCATTGAGCCAACCATCGGACATCTTGTTGCGTAGCTCCGTCTTGATAATCTTCATTACCTAGAAGGCCCTCTCAACTGATCTAGTCGCCACCAGTAAAAGCAATACTAACTCAATGAGACAATATACCAATGGAAATACAATGTGTCTCTCAAGTTCAGCCATCTTTTTTGCTAGGCTTGCTAAATCATGACAAACTTTGAACTCGTCAAGCCTTCGCACATAAAGGATGAACCAGGCCAACTAATTAGGCCCATTCTCTCTCTCTCTCTCTCTCTCTCTCTCTCGATCGCGCCATGTTCTCACTCTCCCTCTCTCGATCGTGCCGGTGCGGCGCGGCGTCCTAGGAAGGAGGACGCGCCCCGGGGGGGTCTCACTAGCAGATCAAGGTATGGCGAGCGCCACAGCTCGCCATACCGAGTCATCTGCCCCTTATATGCAGTGTTCTGGTACGTTGAAATGATTTGACATCATTTGATCAAACCTAGCCTGTCAACATGGAGCCGATAAATAAATGGGAAAAGTCTGAATTACACCCCTAACTATTGGGTGAGTACGAATTACCCCCCCCCTAAACCCGAAAACCAGATATCTTTCACCCTTAACTATCAATACCGGACGAATTACCCCCTAACTCAAACTCGGAGCAGTTTTTGTCCTACGTGGCAATCCAGTCAGCAATTCTTTTTCTTTAAATCGATAGGTCCCACCTTTTAGTCTCATCCTCTCTCTCTTTCCCCTCACCTCTCTCTTTCTCTTTCTCTTTCTCTTCTCGACTCCCCCTCTCTCTATCACCGAGCAACCGGCCGAGGAGGAGTCAAGGATGGCGATGGCGGGCATCATCGAGGGAGGCAGCTCAGTGGCGGAAGGGGAGCTGAGGACAGTGGTAGCGGGCAGGGACGGGGAAGGCACCTCGAAGCAGCGGCAACAGGCGGGGACGATGGAGCCAGCTCGGAGTGGCGGAGGGGGAGCCAAGAACGGCGGTGGGGGGGCACGGCTGCTGTTGTGCGTGCTCGCCGCCAAAGCTCATGCCGGCCTGCTGCGTGGAGCTCCCTATGAACATCACCGACCTGTACATCGCCGCCGATTCCCTTTCCGGCCATCGCCTCCAGCTAGTGTCGCTCGAGCTCCTCCACCTCCGCCACTCGAGTCCCACCGCCCCCAGTTGCACTCCTCCTCGACGGCCGCCACCGCCACGCGCTCCTCCCCAGTGGTGGTCGTCATCGCCTTCCGCCTCGGTGCCAGGGCGACGTCAGCGGTGGCCCAGCCACATCCTTGAGGGGGACCAAGCAGAGGCGGACCTGGTGAGTGAAGGCATCGATGTGCTCCTCCGTCATGGGCACGGTGGTCATGGTGACGGCGACCCCGGAGGACGCCATCATTCCCCTACCGTGCTCCCCTGGCTCACTTTCTCCGCCATTGCTCTCAAATTCTCGACCGACTCCCCCAAATCAAAATCATCATATCTGAGCCCGGTGTCGATGTCAGTCGCCCCCCTCTACTGGTGCGGCGAGATGCGCCAGCCCTGCCCCCCAGCTTCCTTCACTGGCTCCTCCCGTGTCGCTTGTCACCGCCTCACCCTCGACATAGCTTTTTTTAAGCAGTGGCAACGAGGAAGAAGAGGAAGAGCTGGCAGGTGGGTCCCACCATTTTTTAAGCTGACTGGACCGCCACGTATGATCCAAATTCGCACTGAGTCAAGTTAGGGGGTTTTTCATCCATATTGATAGTTGTGGGTTAAAGATGTCTGGTTTTTAGGTTTAGGGGGATAATTCATACTCATCCAATAGTTGAGGGGTGTAATTCGGACTTTTCCCTAAATAAATAATGCACTCTATAATATAGTTTAACTTTTTTTAAGTCAAACTTCTTAAGACTAAGTTTATAAAAGAACAACACCGAACAAATATTCCATCAAAATATATTGACTGTTGGATTTAATGAAATTTGGTGTTATAAGAATTGTTAACTTAGAAAAAATTAAAGCCTGGCCAAACTTACATAAACGGAGGAAGTGCTATTTTTAAGTTAAAAACTAAATGGATTCGCTCAACGCCTCAACACATTGTTATTACTTGTAACGGTCTTTGACACTATTAAGTATTAATAACAATCCCGAATAAAAAGTACAAACAGCATGGACTATGAGTAATTTTACTGTTCTTAAAAATGTACCCGAAGATGATAATATAAATTTGGTACCTCTAGATATTTGGTATTTCGTGGTGTCAAATTTTTTAGTGTAAATTTTAATACGTACCAGTACTTTTCCAAGGAAAGTAAAATATCTTAAAAAGCGGCACAGCTACAAAATTAGAGTACTATACGCTACTACTCCTCTAATGCTTCATCTTTGCATGACTCCATGGCCACAACTGTTAACACCTCATTATAAACCGGGGGCTCTCCCCCTCTCTCTCTCTCTCCCCTCTACATTTGCCTCGATGAATACAAACTCATCCACATAACCCCAAGAATACCGACGAGTGCTCATTAACCCAAATAAAACAACAGATTTAGGGGACGGCGAATCGGAGAAGAAGCACGCAGTGAGAGAGAGTGCGCATGTCCGCAATTGGTGACTCCATCCCGGCCATCTTCCTCCCTCTCCTTTCATCTTCCAATAAAATAAAATGCCGGTGGCCGACTGCGAAAGCGGTCTCTCGCCGGCAGATGTCACCGGTGCAGGTGCCGCAAACGGGAACCCGGTGAGCTATACATTTCCCCTTGCTCTGGCGTGCATTGAAATCGCATTTTCCAAATAATTTATTTATTTGCCTCTTGTGATGAATTTGTGATATTGTGTAAGCATACGGACATGATGTGCACCCCTACCGTTTGCAATTTTTTGCATTTCTGTTACCTAAACCAACATCGGTGCTGGTCCATCAACGGAATCTGACCCTTTTTTTTCCTTTTCTCTTTATTTCCTCCTTTATGTTACTGAGGTGTAGTAGGAAATGGTGTTGATTAATGTACCCTGCATCTTATCTCTGACCATACTTATGGAAGAATATATTACTAGTACCTAATCAGGAAGAACGATCCCAACTAAAATGTTATTCTTGACTGAATTATTTGACAATAACAGAGTGATTTGTTTGTTTTTTTTTCCAAGAGTGGATCATGCAAGGAGAACATTTACATTAAGAGTGGCATGCAGTAGGAGTAGCTCATTGTTATTTTACACCACTAGTTACTAACACCGTCCTAAAAATAGCTTGTGACCGAGTCAGACAGTGTGAGCACAGAGGGCATCAGTAGTATACAGTATTACCAATCCATGAAGAATACTGACGCTAGTTAAATAATTTTGCAATGTGTATCACTTTAGTGCGACCAATGATGGAAGGAAAATGGACAGCTTTTTTTTCCTACCGATTTTGTCTCTCCTCAGCCGAACCAGATTAAAAAAAAAAACTTAGGACATGTTTGGTTCTTGGCCATTGTTGGCCTTGCCAATTTATTTGGCATGGCAAGATTTGATCATTGCCTCATTTTTTTTATTTATTTATTTTTCTGCAAAGTGCTTGGATTGTTACCAAATGTTTTTGGCTAGGCTTTGAATTTGGTTTGTTACCACAAAGGGATGCTAATGTTTTGGTATGTGTTTTATTTGCTACCTATGAAGTATGCCAAAAACCAAATAATTTGGCATGACAAATTATTTGGATATAAAACAAATGGATGACAGTTTTTGAGTAATGCCAAGTATTTGGTATGGTTAAGTTTAGTATTGAACCAAACATGCCCTTACATTGTGCAAAAGATGTGGTTGGGTCATGTCCATCAAAAAATACACTAAACCAAGTAAGACACGAGGAGAAAAAACGCGCAAACAATGGTAATTGGGAGGAATATATATCGAAACAAGGTGAGTTAAGACATGGAATTTGTAACAAGTCGTTTTACATGAAGAAATCTCGAACTTAGGATGATATATTTAGGGTGATTTTTGCAATCTTCCCTAAATTAAATAAGCACGTATTTCTCCATATATTGGGCCTGTTTAGTTCGCGAAAAGAAAATTTTTGGGTGTCACATCAGACGTTTGACCGGATGTCGGAAGGGGTTTTCGGACACGAATAAAAAAAACTAATTTCATAACTCACCTGGAAACCGCGAGACGAATCTTTTGAGCCTAATTAATCCGTCATTAGCACATGTGGGTTACTGTAGCATTTATGGCTAATCATGGACTAATTAGACTCAAAAGATTCGTCTCGCGATTTCCCTCTAACTGTGCAATTAGTTTTTTGATTTATCTATACTTAATTCTCCATGTATGTGTCAAAAGATTCAATGCGATGTTTTTAGGAAAAAGTTTTTGGGAACTAAACAGGGCCATAATACGAAGAATGAAAGTAATAATCTGATAAAATAATAAATAATCAGTAGAATTAATTACGGGTACAGGGTCACTGGAGGAGCTACTACAGGCATGTGCTGCTGCTGGCGTACCAGAGCTGCGGCGTGGTGTACGGCGACCTGAGCACGTCGCCGCTGTACGTGTACAAGAGCACCTTCATCATCGGGTCGCTCCGGCGGTTCCAGGACGAGGAGATCGTGTTCGGCGTCTTCTCCCTAGTGTTCTGGACGCTGACCCTCATCCCGCTCCTCAAGTACGTCTTCATCGTGCTCGCCGCCGACGACAACGGCGAGGGCGGCACGTTCGCGCTCTACTCGCTGCTGGTGCGCCACGCCAAGTTCAGCCTCATGCCAAACCAGGAGGCCGCCGACGAGGAGCTCACCTCCTACTACCGCCCCGGCTACGCCCCCCAGGAGACCCCCATCCTCACCGCGCTCCGTCGGTTCCTCGAGAACCACCGCAAGTCCCGCACCTTCCTCCTCGTCACCGTCCTCTTCGGCGCCTCCCTCGTCATCGGCGACGGCGTCCTCACGCCGCCCATGTCCGGTGAGCGCGCGTACCGTAATACTACTACTACTTGGTGTGTGGTTTGGGTTGCTGATGTGATCGATGATCGATCTTTTGTCCTGGCTGCTGGCTGGGCAGTGCTGTCGTCCTTCTCTGGGCTGCAAGTGCACTCGACCGCGCTGACGAGCGGGGAGGTGGAGATCCTGTCGTGCACGGTGCTGGTGTGCCTGTTCATGGTGCAGCACTGGGGCACGCACAGGGTGGCGTTCCTGTTCGCGCCGGTGGTCATCGTCTGGCTCCTCCTCCTCGGGGCGCTCGGCGTCTACAACATCGTGGTGTGGAACCCCAGGGTGCTGCGCGCCCTCTCCCCTTACTACCTCGTCAGGTTCTTCCAGCACACCGGCAAGGACGGCTGGATCTCCCTCGGGGGAATTCTCCTCTCCATGACAGGCAAACAAACCTTATTTTGCTCGCTGCACTGCGACTCATCAACTACATATTTTATAATAATATATATATGTATGTATGTGCAGGGACCGAAGCCATGTATGCGGATCTTGGCCACTTCACAGCTGCATCCATAAGGGTATATGTGTCTGTTTATGCTTGCTGTCAGAGCACTGATAGTGCAGTACTGCGTCTCGTTTAATATAATGCAGATTGATTTTAAGAGCAGGTTAAATATCTTGACATTTGTTTGACACGTACGTACGTACACTTGTTGACAGGTTGCGTTCGTGGGGCTCATCTACCCGTGCTTGGTGCTGCAGTACATGGGGCAGGCGGCCTTCCTGTCCAAATCACCCCACTGCGACATCCACTTCGTATTCTTCGAGTCCATTCCAAGTAAGTGGAGTACTCCTCTAATCTACTGCTAATCACTGGTGGTGAGGTGACATGAATCGTGATACGACGACATCGATCCGAATGAAATGTCGCATTTTGCAGCGGGCATCTTCTGGCCGGTGCTGGTGATCGCGACGCTGGCGGCGATCGTGGGCAGCCAGGCGGTGATATCGGCGACCTTCTCCATCGTGCGGCAGTGCACGGCGCTGGGCTGCTTCCCGCGCGTGAAGATCGTGCACACGTCGCGGCGGATCCACGGGCAGATCTACAGCCCGGAGATCAACTGGATCCTGATGCTGCTGTGCATCGCCGTCACCATGGGGCTCCGCGACACCACCCTCATCGGCAACGCCTACGGGATGGCGTGCGCGGGGGTGATGCTGGTCACCACGCTGCTCATGGCGCTCGTCATCGTCTTCGTCTGGCAGTACAGCTGCCTGGTGGCGGCGCTCTTCCTGGTGGCGTTCGGCGTCGTCGAGGCGGTGTACCTGTCGGCGGCGCTGATGAAGGTGCCCCAGGGCGGGTGGCTGCCGCTGGTGCTGTCGCTGGTGTTCGTCGCCGTCATGTACGTGTGGCACTACGGCACGCGGCGGAAGCACCAGTTCGACGTGCAGAACAAGGTGTCGCTCAGGTGGATCCACGCGCTCGGCCCCAGCCTGGGCATCGTGCGCGTCCCGGGGATCGGCATCATCTACTCCGAGCTGGCCACCGGCGTGCCGGCCATCTTCTCGCACTTCGTCACCAACCTGCCGGCGTTCCACCAGGTGCTCGTCTTCATCTGCGTCAAGGCCGTGCCGGTGCCGCACGTCCGCGACGAGGAGCGCCACCTCGTCGGCCGCATCGGCCCGCGGGAGTTCCGCATGTACCGCTGCGTCGTTCGGCACGGCTACAAGGACGTGCTCGCCGAGGACACCGACTTCGAGAACGACCTCGTGCTGCGGATCGCCGAGTTCGTGCAGATGGAGGCCGACTTCGACCAGCGCTGCAGCATCAGCGACGATGGGGTCGTCGCCTCCGTGGAGGTGGAGGGCCGCATGGCCGTGGTCCCGCGGCCCAGCGACCTTGCCAGGACGGGGCTCCTCATGCGGGAGCCCGGCGAGGAGGAGAGCGTGGTGGCGCGCGCCGCCGCGGCCGCCAAGCCGGAGTCGCTCATCCACTCGATGCACACGATGCACGAGGCGGAGTCGCCGGGGTTCGCGAGCCGGCGGCGCGTGCGGTTCGAGGTGGCGAACCAGCACACGGACCCCAGGGTGAAGGAGGAGCTGAGCGCGCTGGTGGAGGCCAAGCACGCCGGCGTCGCCTACATCATGGGCCACTCGTACATCAAGGCGAGGAAGAGCTCGTCGGTGTTCAAGAAGTTCGCCGTCAACGTCGCCTACGCTTTCCTCCGCAAGAATTGCAGAGGCCCCGGCCTCGTGCTCAACATCCCGCACATCAGCCTTATCGAAGTCGGCATGATCTACTACGTCTAGTTTAGATATAAACTGCTTATTACCCCCAACATTTTTTATTTTATTTTATACAGTACTAGGTCGTTTATTAGGCCTGCAGAACAATTAATGCAGGGCGTGTCATCGACATGTATTTAGATTTAATAATAACGAGCTTAATAAACCACATATGCTAATGCTAGGCACTAGGCAGGTAAAGTGCCAGTGACTCTGCAATAAAGTTCTTTCTCCATGATGAGTTGCGATTTAACACAATGATCGGCAAGAAGAAAGTAATCAACAAAAATTATAGAAACTCAAAAGGTAGAGCAAAGGGCGTCAAAGCTAAACATGTAAATGTGGTTCACAGTCACAGCCGAGCCATAGCTGCTTCTCCTAATCTGTTTTTCCTCTAATCATTCACTTGAGCAGGAAAAGAGTGTACAACCCTGATGCGTGGATGTAAGTAAACAGAGACTACTGGTGGCAACATCAGGGCACTGCCCTAGGAATCCAGAGGGTGAGTAAACAGACAAACAGTCAGCAAGTCGCCTCAGGACCAATCATCAAGCCAAGTATTTGTAGGTCTGGGCATTCTCCGAATCACGCTCCAAGTACTCCCTGCTGATAAGATCCTCGATCCTCCTCTTGATGATCTTGATGTCAGGCTGCACAAGAGTGAGAACAAATCCCCATTGTCAATATCTGACAACACAAGTCTTAAGAAAACATGGATTTTCTCTCCCTTCTCACCACAGATGACTGAAAGCTTTACACAAATTGGCAGAATGTTCAAAAAGTAGGTTAGCAGAATCGACATGTATGTGTTCTGCCGTGTACCTTAAACATGCGGCTGAGCTGCTCCACGCATTCCGCTACAAGTTGCTGATGGCCCAGAACTTTGCGGCTTTTCATGATGCGCACAAGAGATGCATCAATTGCGAACCTCCTGTCCTTGTTGACATCATCGACAACCTTTTTCTTCTCATCGATTTGAGGAAGTGGTACCTGCACACAAAAAAAAAATTACGTTTAGTTAGCTCGAAAAACCAGGGGGGAATGGGTAAATAGTTAGAAATGGCACCTTAATCCTTCGCATCCTATCGGTAAATTTGGAATTGAACTCAAACTCGTCCTCTGGAGAAATCACTCTGTTGCTAGGCTCTTTGTTGAGAATCTTATACTTTGCACAAGAAAGCGAATGAAGCAAACGCACGGCATCATCATCAGACAGTTTTAATTGTGACACAATATCAGAGTAACTCAGTTTATCAGCTTCATTGAATAGCAGCAACAATGCAGCCTGACCAAAGAGGGAAAAGGTAAGAGAGAATTAAGTGAGAAGTTTGTTCCATGCATTAAGTGTGTGAGCGATTCACTTTGTACAAAGATTTCGAAATAACCTGATAAGTGTTGAGAACGAACTCAACAGGTTTAGCATCAAAATTTCCAATGACGACGCAGTTTCCCAAGGAAAAGATCCAGGTAAGCTTTCTGTGTTGCTTGTCGGACCGATAATATTCCTTGAAAACCTCCACGCATTTAACCTGAAAACATGGAGTTCCAGAACAATAGATGGCATTATGGCTTAGCACTGCAATATTCAGGTCGCATTTCGTGGCCATTGATGAGTTACAAGACAAACTCAAATAGGAAAATGAGAATGTCTCAAACAACTGTGAATCGGACGGTTATAAAGTTAATCTGTGATAGTTCATCAAAAATTTAGTGCAAATTAAACAGGAAATCCATAGACGTACCATCTCCAATGGAAGATTTATATCTGAGTTCTTGTATGTTGGCCAGTATCCTGTTGTCAAGACAGTCACATTCAAGTCTATCAGAGGATTTGACTCTGGATTGTTGCTTACGTACTCCTCAAAACTTGACTGATGTTCTTTTGCCAATGTAATATCTTTGAGCATCCCCTCCATTTTTGATGTAAACTGTCCCCCGAAGAATTGCTTCAGCTTGGAGAGTAGGATTCTCTCATGTTCGTCATTTGTATTCTTATCAAACAGCAATCTCCTTCCAAGTTTCTTCCTGTAATAGATTATTCCAGAAAAAACAAAGGCTTCCAAAATGTGAGTTTCCTATTTACTTTGGGAACATAATAAAATTGTCATCAAGAAAATAGAGAACCACGAACCTATGAAACTCTACAAAGAGGTCCTTGTCGCTGAGATATGTTAGAAGCTTGACAACCTGATACAAATTAAATACACTGTTGAACAAGAGATTTCGTAACTAGTTTGTACAAACAGTATTGCAATAACTATATACCTTCTCAAGACTTTCATCTATAGCTTCATCACTTAGCTTTTCACTTCCACCTCTTTTTAAGATACTATCACAGTATGCCGCAAACAGTTCAGCACTACTGCAACCAACAACATCTTTGTTGCAAATAACTTCAAAGGCCTCCTTAAGTGCCTGAGACAAGTAAATAAAGTAGGTCAATCAGCATTATACAAGGTTTGAGCAACCAAATGCTGCAAGACAAAATTAGGGTCGGTAACTTGGCAAGTAGCAAACCTTGTGAAATACTGAGTTGCTCTGGAAACAGTTGGTGACATATGCCATATATTTGTCATGGAGCTCTATGACACTCCTCACAAAATCCTAAAATCGGTGGTAACCCATTAAGACTAAAAAAGCAGTAGTACAACCTTAGTTAAAAGCAAATGTATGTCTAATTCAGACCTGCTCCGGCAATCCCACCACCACCCCCTTCTTCTCATCCTGTATACGTGCAGAATACAATAATATAAGTAATCTGATTAGCACAAGTTGTACACAATACAATTCCAACGTTTGCGATGCATTCACTTCTGAAAAAAATAACACGAAAAAAATATTGCAGTAGAAAGCATGAAAACCAGTTAACTAGTAAATCCTTCTAATAGCAATTGACTTGTAAAGCTGTCAGTTGTAATAAGCTTCCTTACAGTTTCAGATACTCCGCCCTTTTCATAAAGTACTCGACCTGGTTTAACAACGGCTACGGGCTACCCAATATTCGTGGATCCCTTTCTCGAATCCATATGTGCTTCTGTGGGTCTTATTGTAACCAGTTTGTTGGACAGACTACATCGACCACATAGTAAAGATTCACAGCAGGGTGAGATCTAGGAACAAATAGTCCATTCGAAAATCAGATTCAAGAATAATTAGAACACATTATTATCTATTGCATGTATCTATTTAGCAATAATTAGGGTATGTTTGGCACAGCTCCAACTCCAGCTCCACCTTTCCTAGAGCTGGAGCTCAACCAAACGGTTTCAGCTCCACTCAGAAAGAGAGTAGAGCTCGCAGGAGTACTCTCACAAAATAAACTAAAGAGATGGAGTTGGGTTTAGGCAGCTCCACAACTCCACTCCATACTCAATTTCTAGAGTTAAATTTAGGAGTTGGAGCTATACCAAACATGCCCTTATTCTCTTGCTATTATAGAATTGCAGGCTAGTCAGCACAATTAAGATGTTAGATGCCATTATGCACCCACAGGAGACTGATTTGACAAACAAATGAAATATAAATTAAGAATGTCATCCCAAGGATGTGGAAACTTGCAAAGCACAATATGAAGGAACAGAGCAAATCCACTGGGCCAAGGAACAGAGCAAAGACATAGAATCATCACCTTTCTGCTGTTGGCAGCATCTGTTGCATGTTTCAGCAGAGACATACCCTCAGCAATGACATGCTGCACAGAAGTAACATTTCAAGGAGATTGGAATATTTCAGCAGTGCAGCATGTGGAGCATAATGAGACAATTCAATACCTCCTTAAATATTTTCGATACTGGAAGCAGCCCGTCAGTTATCCTAGAGAAGAGCCTAAACATCCTTGCTAGATCCTCGGTCTACAGTCAGAAAGCAAAAAATAGTCAGTAAATTGATTGCCAGCGATTTCCTCATTTTGCAACTTCACAAACCAGAGTTTTTTTTTTCAGTGTAATGCAACCTTTTCATCACAAAGCAACACTTTGCATCCGGAGTTCTCCTTGTTCAGAATTTCTTCTGCACGCCTATCTATCAACTCGAAGAGTGCAGCCTGAAAGCATTTAGGTTGAAGGGTACAATTTCAGAAGCACAGAAAGTCATTGCATGTTTTACATGCATCATTGAAAAGCTGCCAAGAAACATCAAACATATAACTGAGACAAACCGCAAATAGCTTTGGTTCTGTAGTAGAATGCAAGTAATTTGCAACCCGGTCTTTCTCTTTTTGTAAGCATTCCTCAGCCTATTAAGCACATAACTAGTAAGAGGGTATCGTTAAACTTAGCAGCAATGTAAATTTCAGAACTCCACAAATACCTTGAGCATGTATTCAGGGCAAGAATTCTCAAGAATCCATGTTTGTGCCTTCTTAGAATAGTAATCTGTTGTTCCGTTGAGAAATGATTGTTCAAAATCATCACTGTAATAATTCAGTTGACTATCCCCAATTTCAACATAGATATCAAGGGCATTCTTCAGGAGTGGACGGTCTATTAGATTGCCTTCCCTCTCATCATCAATCTATTAAATAAAAGAAATTAGTAGTGATCAAGTTAGCTCTGTAGAATGCGCACGAGATTAAGAAGCGGAGGGCAAGCTCACCATGCCAATCATAATTGTTGCCACAGTACTTTTGAGCTTATCGAAAACCTATCACAACAGAAGAATCATCAAAGGTATTTGTCAAATCATGGAGTAATAATAAGCAACTGTAGTGCTTCTAAGTTATACTCGTCTAAAGATTCTCTGAAAACTAACTGAGGCTCACCAAATCCCGGAAGCTACTCCAGCCCAGATCTTTGAGTGAATCAAGGGACCTCCGTGTAACATAGTAACGATCGAGGTAGTCAAAGAACCTCCTCAGCCACCTTACCATTAGCTTGTGTTTCTCCCACCTCTGCACTATTTCCCTCAGAAGGAACACGCCATGCTTCTCATTCAAGGAGGGCAACACCTTCAAGCTCAAAGATATAAATTAGGAAAAAGGCACATTAACGATCTCATACTATCATTCTTAAGATGCAATCATCGATCCCAACAAATGTGCCTCGCACTGAAAGTACAGAATCAATCTAATTAACATGCTTCACTGCAAACAATTATCATAAATAAGGCATACATATCCATCTCCAAGAACTCATTCAGGAAATACACAGGAGGACACCAATAACATGCAGGTTGCAACACAGGAGCAGAAAAAAAAATGAACCAAATTAAATAAGCGTCAAAATGCCATCAGCCGTCTATGTAATTGCTACTACGTTGAAACGTCTTGGCTTTTTCAAAGGCTGCACAAACACAAGTCCTATTATGTTTCCATTACAAGATCACGTTCAATTTTACTTTCCATGATTTCCGTCAGCCATTTACGCACTATGAAGAGATTTTCACTATCGGGGTTTTTTTGGTTGCATCGCACGGGCAGGGGCGGATCCAGGAACAAAAATTTGGGGGGGCTTAATTACACAGTTTCTTTAACCTCCAGCCATTTAGGGACCTTTAGTTTATCATTTATGGTGAAAAAATTGAATTTATGGTGAAAAAATTGAAGGGGGTGTTCCTAAGGATATCCATGGGTCTTGTGGGTGCAGGAGGGACTGATCAGCCCCTGCGCACGGGCACAACTAAGCAACAATAAAAAAAAAAGCGGAATAACAATGGATCGATAAAAAAAGTTTAAAAACAATAACAGACAGTTAAGAAATAAGAATCGTCCACATAATGCCTCAAGTCCTCAACCGAGGGTCCAAATCACGGGTTACAAGTGCAACATGTTAAACTGTACGGACCAGCGGCAACCCCTAATTGGTGCGAAATTCGCCCAAAAAATCGCTGATAAATCAGAATAAACCGAAAACCCCCTTCGGCAATAATTCATCATCGCACTAAGAACCTAAACGTGCAGCGGCGAAATCGAGCAGCCGGGTCGCAGAAAAAACACCCAAAACAAAAAGGATGGGAGATTAAGAGCAGCACACGTACGACGGATTCGATGTGATCGTCCAGGGCCTGCTTGTAGCGATCGTAGAGCACCTGCGAGTAGTCGTTCGGCGGCTTCTGCGTGCACATGTTGTAAACCGTCCTGCCACGGATCAGCCGTACCAGATCAGATCAAATCAGATTGGAACCAACAACGAACGAACAAAAAAACCCCCGCGAATCCGAGAGAACCCAAGCGGAGAAGACGAGCGAGCAGATTGGGGAACGTACGTGTAGAGGTGCATGTACTCGTCGGGGACGAAGTGCACGACGTTGGAGCCATCGAGGATGCACTTGAGCTTGGCGACGCCGGCGAGCACGTCGCGCCACCCGTCCTCGAGGTCCACCACCGGAATGCGCGGCGACATATTCATCACGCCTACGCCGCCGCCGCCGCCACCGCCGCCGCGCGCGAGGCTTGTGGACGAAGGAGGCGTGGGGCGAGGGTTTTGGTGGGGTTTGGGGTTTCTTCGATTCGATCAATCGATCTCGCGGGGGAGACGGCGGAAATAAATAGGGGAGGAAACGGGGGTCGTGTGGGGCCCTTCTGTTTCTGGAATGTGCGGAGGCAGTTTGGATCGTTCGTCTGCTTCGATTGAGTTTGGAGGAAATCCACGGCCTGCCTTTTTTTTTTTTACAGAATCATACCAAAGCCATTCCTGATAAGTTGCAATGTGGGCAATAAGAATATGAACTATGCCTTAGACGGAATACAACAGAAAATAAGGAGAAGGATATGTGAGATTACAATTATAACCATATTAAATTGTGAAATCTTAACAGAGAGCGTTCTCGTTCTTTATTAAGCAATGACGCCTTCCATGGTTGTCCGATCTACTAGCAATTGTGTAGCCGTCCGATCGAGCTAACGGGTTCGATGCAAATGTGTGGGTGAGTCAAGAAGCATCCAAGATGAGTCGTTCTACCATGTTCCTGTGCGAGACGGACACTCAGTGGTTTCTCCCCAAATCCATGATTTTCGTGTGTGTGTATGCGAGAGAGTTGTGGTTTTGAGTTTGTATAAGTGCTTGGTGTTAACTCAAAACTTATATATGTAAGTTAGACAAGGCTCTGTATGGCTTGAAACAAGCACCACGAGCCTAGTTAAGTATAAAATTTCATGAGCTTGGGTTTAAACCATCAAGGAGCAGATACATCCTTATTCTTTTATACTAAAGGAGACATCACAATTTTTGTGCTTATTTATGTTGGCAATATAATAGTGGCTAGATCTACAGCAAGTGCAACTTCATTAATGTTGCAGAGAATGTAAAGCCGGAAAAAAGCCTTGTAAACTGGCAGATCGTCTGCATGCCGAGGGAACTAGGAGGGTTGGGAATCCTTGACTTGGAAAGATTTTCATCAGCCCTTCAAGTGAGATGGTTATGGATAAGATGGCATGATTGTAACAGACCATGGAATGACATGGAATTACCATGCAATGCAAAAGATTTGCAACTCTTCCAAGCCTGCACCCAAATTGTCATTGGAAATGGGCAAAAAATTCTTTTCTAGAAGGATAATTGGCTCCAAGGAATGTGCCCCAAAGAAATTGCCCCAAACCTCTTTCAGTTGGCAACAGGAAAAAACAAGAATCTAGCAACCGAACTTGACGATAACCACTGGGTGTTTTCGCTTAGACAGATTGACAATGGGGAAGCCATACACGAGCTGGTGCAACTTGGCAATCTTCTATCAAACATTCAACTATCAATACAGAATGAAGATTCTATAATCTGGAAGAGAACCAGCACAGGTATCTACTTAGCACAAAAGTTCTTACAAGTTCCAATTCATAACTTGCCAACAAGACCCCATTCTCAGAGCAAACTGGAAAGCACAGGCACTACCAAAGCAAAGATTGTTTTGGATGGCTGGTGCTACACAAAAGAGCCCTAACAGCTGAAAACCTTCTAATCCGACATTGGGAATGCGATTGGATTTGCCCTCTGTGTAGAAGCGCTTTTGAAGACACTGAACACCTCTTCAGGGAATGTGATTTCACTAGAAGAACTTGGAACTTGTAGCGGCAACACAGGGCATACAGGGGACAATAAACCAAACCTCCTTGGCACACTGGATGATGGATTTAGCACAGGGAACCAGTAGAATAGAATCACGACACCGAGTCGAAATCCTAATCAAGACACGGTAGCACATATGGCTGCAAAGGAATGCAAAAATCTTCAAACATCAGGAACCGAATTCAAGTCGAGCTGCCCAACAGATCAATGAAGACATACAAGAAAGCGTTTTCGTTTTCCAACTGCCCTGATTTAGCTTGTCGTCCTAGTCTTATACCTACCTATATGCTTAATAGCCCGAGGCGCTCACTTTATGCCTGTAATATTGCTCTTTTGAACGTTATGTAAAACTCTCCTCTCTCTAATATATTCGGCAATACTCTTGCCGCTTTCACCTCAAAAAAAATTAATGTTGCAGAATCTTACAAGGAGTTTGCCTTGAAGGACTTGGAGACTTGCACTACGTTCTTAGTATAGAGGTGAAGGTAAATGATGAAATAATGTTGATTCAAGCCAAGTGTGCATATGATATTTAACAACGAATAGGAATGCACGATTGCAAACCAGTAAGTACTCCCTTGCTTAGATGCGATAAAATTGTCAACTCATGAATCTATTTGGGCCAAAAGATGCAATACTGAAGTATTGTTGGAGCACTCCAGTACTTAAATTTGACAAGACCAGGTATTTCTTTCTCAGTTAACAAGGTTTGTCAATTCTTTGTTGGTCAATGGTTTTTCTGATGCGGACTTGGGCATGATGCTTGGATGACAGGCGTTCAACTAGAGGTTTTGCTATCTTTCTAGGCTCTAAAGTGTCATGGAGTGCAAAGAAGCAAGCAACTGTGTCCAGGTCAAGCACTGCAGCAGAATACAAGGCGTTAGCTGATGAAACAGCTAAGATTATGTGGTTGCCGACTCTGTTATGTGAAATTGGTATAGATGCACCTAAGGTCGCGAATCATGTGGTGTGATAACATTGGAGTTAAGTATCTATCAGCAAATCATGTGTTTCATGCTTGTATTATCACTTTGTTCGAGAAGAGTTTCTAGAAAATTATTTGAGATAGGATATATTTCTTCCAAGGATCAAATAGCAGATGGATTCACCAAACCACTGGCTATGCGCCCGTTTGAAGAGTTCAAGAGCAATCTCAACATTGATAGTTTGGATTGACGGCGAGTGTTACAGATAATATATACGTGGTATGCGCACAACGGCACAAGGTTGAGGAGACCAGTAGTTAGAAGATAAGGTTTTTTTATCACATATAAATAGGAATCCGGTAACCTCAGCTAGATGTGCATATATATGTATTTTTTCGCACCATTTTGAGTGCCAAGATTAACACACATCGTCGCATTTGTCAATGTTACCCTAGATTGTTATTTCTTTCAAGGTTAATAGTATAGCCAACTGCTAGCTATAAAAATAACACATAATCTAATGCTAATTAAATAGCCATACATACAATAGTTAGTTATAGATATATACAACACTATTAAAGTATGGCCCATCTCTTTCTCTCACACAACTTAATTATTATACCATATATCTCGCTTTTCTTCTCTCTACTCCACTTAAGCACAAATCTGATGTGCAAACTTTTATAGCCAGCTATATCATCTTATTGTATTCGCTTTTATGCATGCATGTGTGAAGTATATATTATTTTTTTTCTGACTAACATATGGATCTCATTAAGTTTTTAAAGTTTTTCTTCTACTGCCACATAAGCATCCACATATGACGAAAACCAAGTTAACATACCACGTGGACGCCAGATCAGATGAAACCATCGTGGGACTCGATTTGCAATAGTTTTGATAGTAAGAGGAAATTTTGTAGTTGGTTTTATGGCTGAAGGCCGCGAATGAATCTCCACCATAGTTGAGGGACATAAAATAAACTTTACCCAAAAGTATAAAACAAAGGAAAGGAAAAGGAATAAGTTCGCTTTGACTCCCTTAACAAGTGACCGAATAATCAGATTCGTATCCCTCAACCATAATGCCAGATATCTTGACACCTCAACTATTAAAAACGGTGCAATTTGACTCCCTTGGCGGTTTTGGAGGGCGTTTTAGCTGACGTGGCCCACACGTGGCGGTGTTGACCTAGTATTCGTCCTACGTGGCATTGACGTGGCATTAATGTGGCAATAAGATTAAAAAAATATGCGGGACCCATTCGTCATTCACGCAAAAAAAATTGTGGGACCCACAAAATGTAGGGCCCACATGTCATCCTCTTTCTCCTGCCCTTCTTCCTCCTCCTCTCTCCCTTATCTCTCTCCCCTTTACTTCACTCGGTGGTGGCAAGGAGAGGATCCAGGCAGCGAAGCATGGTGTCCAGGCGTTGTTTCTCTAGCCGCGTCGCCTCCTCTTCTACCTTTGATATGGCGCCGCCGCGGCAAGTGAATCCAAGGGGAACGGAAGGGCGAGGCGGTCGACCAACGGCGGCGATAGGCACCCCTGGACCTGGAGCGGCGGCGGCATCGAACAGCACGGATGTCGAGGTCCACACCGGTGGTTGCAGCGGTGCGGCAGCGGGTGGCCATGGAGAGTTGTTTGGCCCTCGCCAGCCTGCCATCGTCGCTACTCCAGCGCCCGCCCTCCCGCCCGCCACCGCCGCTGTGGCCCTCGCCCGCCTGCCTGCGTCGCTGCTCCAACACCCGCCCACCCGCCGGCTACCGTCCACCGCCCGCCGCCGCCGGCGGCGGCACTCGATCCCCCGCCTGCCTCCAGCAGATTGAGTGAAGTAAAGGGGAGAGAAAGAGAGAGAAATAAGGGAGAGAGAGGAGGAAGAAGGGCAGGAGAGATAGGATGACATGTGGGCCCCACATTTTTGTGGGTTCCACAATTTTTTTTGTGTGAATGATAAATGGGTTCCAAATATATTTTTTTAATTTTAATGCCATATAAACACCACGTCAATACCACGTGGGAAGGAGACTAGGTCAACATTGCCACGTGTGCGCCATATCAGTGAAACCGTCGAGGGAGTCAAATTGCACCGGTTTTAATAGTTAAGGGATCGAGATATAGAATTGTGATTGAGGGATACGAATCAGATTCTGTCACTTGTTAAGGGAGTTAATGTGAACTTATTCCAAAGGAAAAACACTGAGTTGAATTATAAAAGGGCTTGTGGGCTGTGGTCCATTACCAACATCACACGCAAATTCATGTAGGCAAAATCTGAATAGTGGATACGCATAATTCTTCCTTAACTAGTGCACACTCTATTTTTTCCAATCAAATACTATAGGGACTGTCTAGGTGTCTTTTGACAGAAAAAACCTCCCCAAATCTTGCAACATAACAAACATACTTTTCCTCCACTTCTCAATCCATCCACCGCCACCACCGCTTTCACGCATGCGTGAGCGTGAGCGCTCCTCCACGTCCTGTGCAGTCGCCGCGCCGCTACCCCGCCGCCTAGCCTTGCTGGCTAGCCGGAAGGG